CAGACAGCCCTGTCATACTCCTTTCTCAATCTTGAACCAATCAGTTTTTCCATACAGGGTTCTAACTATTGCTTCTTGACCCGCATACAGGTTTCTCAGGAGACAGGTAAGATGGTCTGGTATTACCATCTCTTTAAGAGCTTTTCAGAGTTTATTATGATCCACACAAAGGCTTTAATGCAGTCAATGAAACAGAGGTAGATGTTTTTCTGGAATTCCCTAGCTTTCTCTATGATCCAGCAAATGTTGGCAATTTGATCTCTGGTTCCTCTTCCTTTTCTAAACCCAGCTTAGACATCAGGAAGTTCTTGGTTTGCATAATGCTGAAGCCTAGCATGCAAAAAATTTTAAGCACGACCTTACTAGCATGGGTGTTTTGCTTAGTTGCTCAGTTGTGTCCGACTCTGAGACCCCATGGACTGTAGCTCACCAGGCTCCTCTGTTCATGGGGATTCTCCAGGCAAGAACACTGGAGTGGGTTGCCATGCCCTCTTCCAGGTACTAGCATGGGAGATGAGTGCAACTGTCCGATGGTTAGCACATTCTTTACTTCCTTCTTGGGAACTGGGATGAGGATTGACCTTTTTCAGTCCTGTAGCCACTACTGGGTCTTCTAGATTTACTGACATATTGAATGCAACACCTTGATGACATCATCCTTTAGGGTTTTGAATAGTTGTCAGGAATTCCTTGCATCCACTAGCTTTATTAACAGCAGCGCTTCCTAAGGCCCACTTGACTTCGCTCTCCAGAATGTTTGGCTCTGGGTGACTGACCACAACATCGTAGTAACCTGGTTCATTAAGATCTCTTTTGTGGATGCAAAAGTAGGAAGTCAAGAGATACCTGGAGTAACAGGCAAGTTTGCTGTTACCTGGAGTAACAGCAAAACGAAGCAGGGCAAAAGCTAACTGAATTCTGCCAAGAGAATGCTGGTCATAGCAAATGTGTTTGAATACCTGCCTTCAATTCTTTGGGTATTTACCTAGAAGTAGAATTGCTGGGTCATGTGGTAATATTATGTTTAACTTCTGAGGAACTGCCAAACTGTTCCACAGTGGCTATGCCATTTTATAACCCTATGAGCAATGTACGAATTTTCAGATTTCTCCACATTCTTGCCAATACTTATTTTCCTTAAAAAAATATTATTATAATCATCCTAGTGGGTACAGACTGGCATCTTGTGGTTCCAAGTTACATTTCTCTAATGACTAATAATGTTGAGTATCTTGTCATGTGCTTGCTGATCACTAATACATCTTTTTTGGAAAACACCTATTCAAGTCCTTTGCTCATTTTTTAATTGGGTTGTCTTTCTGTTGTTGAGTTGTACAAGTTATTTATGTATTCTGGACATTAGACCCTAATTTGCAAATATTTTCTCCATTTCTATAGGCTGTCTTTTCACTTTCTTAATAATGCCCTTTGATGCACAAAAACCTCTAATTTTGATCAAACCCAATTTATCTTTTACTTCTTTACGCTTCTTTTGGTGTTATATCTAAGAATTGATTGCCAAATGCAAGGTCATTAAGATTTACCATGATATTTTTCTTCTAAGAGTTTTATAATTTAGTTCTTATATTTAGGTTATTGGTTAATCCATTTTTAATTTTTGTATATGGCATAAGGTAGGGGTGCGACTTCATTGTCTTTTGCATATAGATATTCAGCTGTCCCAGAACTACTTGTTGAAGAGACTTTTCTTTTCCTGTTGAATGGTCAGAAAAAAATCAATTTGCCATAGACTTATAAGTTTATTTCTGGACTTTTAATTTTATTCTCTTGGTCTATATACATATCCTTATGCCAGTACCACAATGTTTTGATCTCTGTAGCTTTGTAATAAGTTTTATAGTAAGGAAATGTGAGTCCTCTAACTTTGTTCTTCTTAAATATTTTAAGTAATCAGGGTCCTGTGCAATTCTATACGTATTTGCCACTTTTGCAAAAAAGGCTATTGGGATTTTAATCAGAACTGCATTGACTCTGTAGAGCAAGCTGGGTAGTATTGCCATCTTAACAATATTGTCTTCCAATACTTGAACATGGATGTCTTTCTACTTATTTACGTATTCTTTAGTATCTTTCAGCAATATTTTATAGTTTTTAGTGTGCAGGTCTTTCACTTTTGTGCAGTAAGGAATCTGGCCTCATCTAAAGGGAGGTCTGGCCTCTGCCCCAGCTCCTGGGAGATGACCTCCACACCCTTTCAATTTCCCAAGAGACAGGAGTATAATTCATAGTGGAGTCCCTCAGGCCAACTTTAATAGTTTTATGCTAATAAGGTCTCAGGGTGGGCCCCTTCATAGTTCAGGCTAATGCAGTGACTCAGGGCACAGCTGGCAATGTTAGAAAAGCCAACAGTGTGACTGGGAAGTTAGGACTGTGTGTCACAAGATAACAGCCCAAACTTCAGGGAAGCAGGTGGCTGGAGATTTTAGTTCAATCACATGGACAATAATTCTCCCCAAGTAAAGAAGCCTCATCCAGCACTGGACACCAGTGAGCATTCCTGACTGGCAATATTCTTGGAGCACTTCACATATCATAGATGAAAGGAGAAAACTCCACTTAGGATCTCATCTAGATAGAACAACCAGAACTTCCAGTTTGGACCCCCTCACAGATGTTGCCCTAGGCTACTCTTCCTTTGCCTCAATTCAATGTATCCTTTCTCTGTAATAAATGTGACTGTGTATATAATAGCTTTCAGTGTGTTCTGTGAATCTTTGTAGCGAATTATTGAGTCTAAGCAAGGTTATGAGAATACTTGAATTGTGGCCAGATGGTCTGAAGTAAGTGTGGCCCTGGAGACTCCCAACCTTGCAGATGGTATCTGAAACAGGGCAATGTTTCTTCCAACAGGAGAGTTGCCTAAACTCTTTGCAACCTCGAGGTGTTTTGAGGCTTCCCTGATGACTCCAATGGTAAGGAATCTGCCTGCAATTCAGGAGGCCAGGGTTTGATCCTTGGGTCGGGAAGATCCCCTGGGGAAGAGAACAGCAACCCACTCCAGTACTCTTGCCTGGAGAATTCCATGAAGAGAGGAGCCTGGTGGGCTACAGCCCAGGGGTTGCAAAGAGTTGGACATGACTGAGAGACTAACACCAGGTGTTTTATTCTTTTGGATGCTGTTGTAAATGAAATTATTTCCTTAATTTCCAATTTATTCATGTTTTAAAAATACTTATTGAGCACTTGCTGTATGCTAGCCTCTGTTCCAAGTGCTTCACAACACTAATTTTATTCTCCTAGCAACCTTAAGGTACTTTGTTGAAAACTGGGTAGTCTTGCCTCCTGAGTCTGTATTCTGAATTCACCATACTGTTGCTTCACGAGCCTTCGGAGAAGTTTCCTGGGAACCTCTTCTCTACCTCTTCACATTGTCATTCTGTAGTTCAGACCCTTATAAATTCACACTGACGTCAGAGCTTCCCACTGTCTTCCTAATTCAACTGTCTTACCACCTACCCTGAATGCTGCCGCCACTCTAACAACACTGATCTAAGTCCTGGCCATTCCAGTGACATGAAGTGCCTTCCTTCTCTGCATTTATGAACATAAAAAACAATTACTGCTCATAAGCTGTACTTGACCATAGATTCTGCAATGTCTTCTACTAACATTGAATTCGTTTTTTTTTTTTTTTAAACATTGAATTCTTACTGAAAACTTTGCTGTGAAACAGAGGCAAAGTGGGTGAGGGGAAAGCTCCAAGCCTGACCCCACAAACCCCACTTCTCCTCAATCTCAGATTATTCATTTGCAGAACAAACTATAAGGTCTTCTCTCAAAAGTTGTTGTAGGAATTAATTGTGTGTGTGTGAGAGAGACAGACAGACAGAGGAGTGGTAGGACAGGTCCTGGCATAAGCAAATGCTCAGCAAACGTAGGCTGATTTGTATCTCAGTAGTCACAAAGAATTTTTAAATTCTTTGACGGCAAGGGCCTTTGATATACTTTTTTGGTATTTCTTAAATAAAAACTTTCAACAGATACGCTTTGGTATCTGGACTTGCTTAAGAACCAAGGCTCTTATGAGAAAATCAGCCTCTAAAGTCTGAATTCAAAGGTTGGCTGCTACTAGGTCAGTGACTTCCGTAAAGTTACCCAACTTCTCTCTGAGCCTCGGATTCTTTATCTGTCAACTGTCAACAGAACCTACTTCACAGGGTCATGAAGGTTCATGTGAAGTGCTTAGTAATATAATCAACGCCCCCCAAACTGCCAGCCATACATCATGTCCTAAACATTGTGTCCACAGAAATTTGGCCTCTGCATTACTCCATGTTTCTAAGACACACACACACACACACACACACACACACACACACACCCCTTATCCTTTTGGACCAATCTTGCCACACACACACATACCCCTTACACACACACACACACACACACACACACACCCCTTATCCTTTTGGACCAATCTTGCCACACACACACATACCCCTTACACACACACACACACACACACACACCCCTTACCCTTTTGGACCAATCTTGCCACTCTGACTTGCTCTTCTTTCCCGACTTCCATGTACCTACCATCCCTCAAAGACCATTAAAATCTACATGAGGTCGCCAGTATTACTGTTGCCATTTTAAACAGCTGAAAATAGGCCCCGAGGGTTTTCAGTGACTTCCCTGAGGTCACTGAACACCAGTGGCCGGGTCATAGCCCACCTCCTAATCTCTGGCCCTCGGCCTCTTCCGGGGTCCGAGGTGCACCCGCGTGCAAACTCCGCCGGGTCCCCCACTTCCATCAGTCCCCCGTTCCACCCCGCACCACTGCCCCCCCAAACCTGAGTCAGGGCCCTGGGGGCACGCCCCATCTGTCCTTGGCAGCTTTCCCCTTTTCTCCTCCAGAGACTCAGGGAGAGGCCGACACTGGGGTCACGCAAGTGTGCCCGTGGGCCCTGGAGATGGCGGGGGAACACTCGGAGGGGCCGGGAGCCGATGCCCGCTGCCCGGAGGGCGTCAAAGCTCGGTTAGCGCCTCGGGGGCGGCGGCCGGGAGGGCCGACTCCGCCCCCTGCGCGCTAGCTCGGGCCCCAGCGGCGGGGTATAAGGCGGCGGCACCCACCGGTTCCACCGCTGTCTGGCCAACTCCGGTGGCGTGCGGAGCGCGTGGTGTGGAGGTGAGCTCTGCCCAGCGCCATCCAGGTCTGTCCCGCCCACGCTCACGCTCACGCACACGCGGCGCCGGGAGCCGCGGACCTCGGTTAGTTGGGCGACGGCGGGCTGCAAGCCGGGAGCCCAGGCGGCTTCGGCCGGGCGGGAGGGAGCCTTGGGGAGCGGAGAGCTTGGTCTCTGGGGATGGGGATGGGGGCGGCCCGGCGGCAGCGTCTGTGAATCACCTAGAGGCTGGTGTCCCGGCTACCGGCTCGGGGAGACGAGTGATCCGGGGTGGTGATCTGGGGGAAATCGTTTCATCCCCCGTGGGGATGCTTTCCGGCAGGAAGAGTAGAGTGACCTAGGGTGTAAAATCTGATAGGGTTGGTTACTCTCTTGCCTGCAGTATCTCTGAGTCCGGTTGTTCCTCAGCTAGGGGTGGGTGGGCGGTGATTTGGGCGTTTTTTTTTTTTTTTTCTGGCGTGGCGTGCTATGCCACCTGTAACCTTCTAATCCGTAAACTCTTCTAGTTCAGTTCAGTTCAGTCGCTCAGTCGTGTCCGACTCTTTGCGACCCCATGAACTGCAGCACGCCAGGCTCCCCTGTCCGTCACCAACGCCAGAGCTTTCTCAAACTCATGTCCATGGAGTCGGTGATGCTATCCATCTTCCGTCGTCCCCTTCTCCTCCCGTCTTCAATTTTTCCCAGCTTCAGGGTCTTTTCTAGTGAGTCACTTCTTTGCATCAGGTGACCAAGGTATTGGAGTTTCAGCTTCAGCATCAGTCTTTCCAGTGAATATTCAGGACTGATTTCCTTTAGGATGGACTGGTTTGATCTCCTTGCTGTCCAAGGGACTCTCAAGAGTCTTCTCCAACACCACAGTTAAGCATAAATTCTTTTCAACACTCAGCCTTCTTTATATCCCAACTCACATCCATACATGACTACTGGGAAGACCACAGCTTTGACTAGAAGGACCTTTGTTGGCAAAGTAATGTCTCTGCTTTTTAATTTGCTGTCTAGGTTTGTCATAGCTTTATTTCCAAGGAGCAAGCGTCTTTTAATTTCAAGAGTTTAAATTTCAAACTCTTTTAGACCTTCTTTTAAAGCTCTTTAACCTTTTAAATCTTCCTCTGACTCATCCTGACTGAATTCTATCCCATTCTTGATTATCCGTGATTTTGCATCATAGAAATTCCATTTTCTCCTCAAATCCTACCACCCCTGGTCTCTGTTTTGTTGTTGTTGTTGTTTTTTTTTTTTTCTTTTCTTTTGTACTATATTATGGGAACCTTAGTGGCTCAGTCGATGAAGAATCCGCTTGCAGTGCAGGAGACAGCCTGCAATTCAGGAGGCCCGGTTTGCTACCTGGGTGGGGAAGATCGCCATGGAGGAGGAAATGGCTACCTACTCCAATATTCCTGCCTGGAGAAATCCCATGGACAGAGGAGGCTGGTGGGCTACAGTCCATGGGGTCACAAAGAGTCGGACAAGACTAAGGGACTAAACCACCACATGAGAATCTTTACTGATTTTTCTTTAAATTATCTATTTGACTGCCTTGGGTCTTAGTTGCCTAAGGCTGGATCTTTCTGCTTGGAGCAGGCTCAGTAGTTGTGGCTACTTGGCATAGTTCCCTGTGACCGCACCCTCCTCCCGCATGTCATGTCGGTTCTTAGTTCTCAGAGCCAGGATGGAACCAGGCCTCCTGAATTGAAAGATGGATACTTAACCACTGAACCACCAGGGAATTGCCTTTTATGTGAATCTTTACTTTTGTATTATTTTTACTTTCTGTCCACCATTGTAAGTTTTTGAAGTCTGTCTTTGAAATTCCCATAAACATAGTTAAATGGAACAGTGTGTCTTGAGCAGTTTTTCAGCTAATTACCATGACCCATGGAATCCTCTCTTCTTGTGGATCCAGTAACATCAGTTACGTTATTTAAATTAGCCCCAAACCTTGTCTTCAGTAATTCACTCGAATGTATAGGCCTTTGTCATGCCAGTTGCCAGTAACCACTCTAGAGGCTGATGACTCAGATTTGGGATGCAAATTAGGAATGCACCCGTTGACCTCACTCTGTTGTGATTGCACTAAGTTGCTGATATTTTTCATATAGAAAACAGCCCAGAAGGGGAGTAGATTAGCAATTTATTGTTTTTTTTTTTTTTAAGGAAAGTGAAATAGATTGTTGAAATTACTATAAGTGTATTATAAAGTGATTTTTTTGTTTTACTGATAGTATAGTCTAGGACTTACATTGTCAACATTTAAGGACCCTTAAGTTTAACCTATAATAGTATTTTGAGGTAATAAAATTTTATTTTTGATATGTTTTTAGTGTCCAAAAAGGCCCTTTAAAACAACCTTGCCAATAAGTATTTATCTGTGCTTAGTGTAAGTAATGTTAGACAAACAATACTTAATTTATTAGTCTTTTGTGGATTATCAGCTTTACAAAACAACTTTGTTACTTCTTTGAAATAATGAGCTCAGAAGTAACAGTTATAATGATGTTCAGACTCAGTCATGGATATTAAACAATTACATGTACAGGAAAGAACTAAAAAGAGAAAAATTCAGTTGTCTTGCATTTGAGATGAAAACTTTTAAGAAAGATGAGTAAATCATAGAGGTAAAATTTTAGTCTTTAGTCATGCCTGGTGGCCCAGCGGTAAGTAAACTGTCTGCCAACGCAGCCAGTGCCAGAGACTGGGGCTTGACCCTGCGTTAGGAAGATCCCGTGGAGAAGGAAATGGCAACCCACTCCAGTATTCTTGCTGGATAATGCCATGGAGCCTGGAGGGCTACAGTCCATGGGGTCACAAAGAACTGGACATGACTTAGCAACTAAACAACGACAAAACAACATCAGTACCTATGAGAATGTAAAATTAGATAGTGGAAGTTTGCTGCATGATATAGGGAACTCAAATCTGGTGCTCTGTGACTACCTGGAGGGGTGATATGGGGTGAGAGGTAGGAGGGAGGTTCAGGAGGAAGGGGACATACGTGTATCTATGGCTGATTCATGTTGATATATAGCAGAAACCAACACAACATTGCAAAGCAATTTTCCTCTAATTAAAAATAAATAAAAACCTATGAGATATTTTAGGGCTTTCCCAGTGGCTCAGTAGGCTAAGAATCTGCCTGCAATGCAGGCGACACAGGAGGTGTGGGTTCAATCCCTGGATCAGGAAGATTCCTTGGAGGAGGAAATGGCAACCCACTCCAGTATTCTTGCCTGAGAAATCCGATTGACAGAGGAGCCTGCCTGGCAGACCACAGTCCAAAGGGTCCCAAAGAGTAGGACACAACTAAGCATGTGAAATACTGTTACATAAAACTAACTATAAACTATAAAACTTGAAAATCATGAAGCTAATAATAATGTTAAGTATTTCTGTGAGCCATTCATACTTTTTTTTTTCCAAGAAAAGGAAAGACAAATTTCTCTGCTGTCTTCTTTATGATTATTTATTTTCCCAACTTGGCCTCAAAGAACTGGGTGTGTAGTAGATACTGGCAGTGGTATACTAGCATTTCTATTCAAAAGGAGTAACATAGATGACCATAACCCTAACTCCATTCCTGTTTGTTTGTTATTTTAAAGTACCAATACATTTGTGCCTCAAACCCTGGGACAAAATCAGTCATATATTAATAAGTAAAAATAGTACATTTAGCTTTTGGATAGTCTACTTTGGATTGCTGCAGAAAATAATGTTTGTAGATTGTAGTCTAGATTATTATCTGGAATTCTACTGAGCAAAACTCTCCTGTATGGTGTAAAGGACTTCAGAGAACACAATCTGTAACTTCCCTTTCTTCACTATTACTTCAGATTTTTATGTCCTCTTTAAAATGTGAAGAAAATTGGTATTTAAGAAATCATGCCAAAATAAAATATTTCAAATGACAAAGACAGGAATTTGGTAATTTGGCAGAATTGTGTTGAGTCCATGTCTGGGTTTTGAATATTTTTATCCATAAATTTTCTTTTGATTGCTTGTATTTTATTCACTTTCTTCTCTCTGAATGTTTTTCTTCCTGAAGATACTTGCAGGTTTAAATTTAATTTTGATACTGTGGAATAAATTTTTTAATACAAGACAGTGTTATTATTAAGACTGATGAGACAGTTCTTGGTGACCAAAAACTGTAACCATTAAAAAACAAATTGAGGGGCTTCCCTGGTAGTTTTGTGCTTGAGAATTCATCTGCCAGTGCAGGGGACACGGGTTCAATCCATGGACTGGGAAGAGTCCACATGCCACAGGGCAACTAAGCCCACGAGCCGTAACTACTGAAGTCCTAGCTCTAGAGTGGCTTTTCCACAAGAGAAGCCAGTGCAATGAGAAGTCCTTGCGCCTTCAACTAGACAGTATCCCACGCTCACCGCAGCACTCAACAACAAAAATAAATAAATCTTAAAAAATAAAAAACAAATTGTGGGAATTCCCTGGTGGTTTAGTGGTTAGGATTTAATGCTTTCACTGCCATGGCCATGGTTCAGTTCCTGGTAGGGTAATTGAGATCTTGTAAGCCACAAGATGTAGCCAAAAAAATAAAAATTAAAAATAAGATAAATTAAAAATAATAATAATAAATAAATAAATAAAAATAAGATAAATACAAGAAATGGTGAGAAATCATAACTGGCAACTAAGCTCAAAGTTTAATCAGATTCAATAAGCATTAAATTAGCTGTTCCAACTGAACCTGACTATCAAACAGCTCTATCATTGAGTGTGATGTAAATCTAAGCATAAGTATTCTGAGATTGCTTACCATTTAATCCTTTTGTTTTAACTCTTACTTCAGAAAAAAACCTGTAAAGTTCATGCCATGGAGCATTTCTATTTAACCTCAGAACCCAGACTGTTTCCTTTGAATTGAGATGTTACAGCTTCTATAACTCAAATGGAAATTTTAGAAATCTTGGAGATATTTTATTATCCTATCTTCAGCAAAGCTAGGTGCAATGCTCTGGGACAGGTAATCTTCATTCTCACTTGGTGGTATAGTTTTAAGGACTAATTTTGCAAATCCTCAGTTTGCAAAATATACCCGGAATTTAGAATGAGCTCTTCTAAGATATGTGGATGCCTCAGGACTTAAATCTCATCTTTGTCTTTTAAAAAAAATCCTTTTTTTGAAGTACAGTTACTTTACAATGTTGTGTTTCAGGTATATAACAAAGTGATTCATATATATATATATGTATATATATTTATATATCTTTTTTCAGATTCTTTTCCATTACAGGTTATTACAAGATATAGTTCCCTTGCTGTGCAGTAGGTCCTTGTTTATTCCCTTCTCCTTCTTCACAAAAGAAAGGCTACCTCACTCATCCCTGTTCTTACTTTGGTGTGCCATTCCATGCTGTCAAAATATTTGGCGAACAATCCAAACAAAGGGAAACATCCAGAATGCATTGCCTCAGAGAAATTTTAAAGGAGACAGGAATAGGTTATAACAGGAGTGTTTTTCACTGCTTTGAATTTGTAGGGAAAGAAAACTTTTCGCTTCGTCGCTTCTAAGCTCTGTGGTCGGTCTAATAATTAAACAATAATAATAATTAAATTGACGTAAGACAGATTAACATTAGGAAAACAATTTCATACATATGCAAGCCATAAAAATATGACACTCAAAGAAGTGACCTCAGCAGGAAGCTTTTGTATCTTCTAGACAAGGAAACTACATTTGTGAAGAATTGACAAAATTGGCTTGGGTGGCAAATCAGTAAAGAAGTAACAAGATATATTTACACAGCCTTGTCAGTCCTAAACTCCCTATCTATGATAATAAGGATGCCTTCTAACCTCCTGGTAGTGGGAGGGTACTTTCCCAATGGGAGACATGTTCTGCTGTTATGGGGGCAAAGGAAATAAGAAAATCAGAGTGTTCTTCTTATATCAGCTATTTCTTAAGTAATATTAATTCAAAGTAAACAATATGCCAAATGGCATGTTTTGGGGTGGCATATTCTGTTCCCTTTCAAATTCAAATGAGGTCACACCTTTTCTGATAGTGAGAACTGGCCAGTTATATGGTGGCCATTTTCCAAAAACTGAATGAGCTCAAGTGCCAAGGTTTTGACAGTGATCTATTTAATGCAAAATTAAAACACTGTACAATATGCCAGAAACTACGTATTTGCAACTATTAAACTTAACACATTTTAGTAGTCAGTGTGTGAGGAACTACAGTTTCCAAATTTTGGGGGTGGTGGGGGAAAACGATTGAACACTACAGACTTTGGAGCCACTTGTACACTTAGTTGAAGAGATTAAGAGAGGATAAAATTGTATAATTTAGGACTTTATATCAACCACAAATTTTGCCCGATTTTTTTTCCTTCCTTTCACCAAACACACAGGGGAAATGTACAAAATATTCTATATTTACTTGAGGACTTTCACTAATCCTTGTTTGTCTCCATCAGTGAATGGGAATGGGTGGAAAATTATATTTCTGATAATGTCATGGTATAATCTTACTCATTCTGATAAATAGTCAAAATAATAGAAAATCTCTGAAGGAGATGAATCTGTAATTGTTACCAGACCCTAGAATAATGGTGCCTTCATGTTCCGATTTGATTTCATCAATTTCTGGGCTTGAGCAGCTACGTAGAAGCTTCTAAATATTAGAAGGTGATCTCTGGGCTGTTTTGCCAAATCACTTTAGAGGACTTGAAGCAGTCTCTCTCTGAGCTTCTGTAGGACGGGGCTAGCCTAGTGGAACTTGCTGTTTCTGGTCTTATCTCCATTATGTTTTCTCTAGACAGACCACTCTGGGGAAGTTTGGGGCAAGGCCAGAGGAGCATTATTGAAGAAGTCTAAAGTCTTCCTGGAGGAACAGGAGGAGTCTGAAAAGTTTGCCCAGGCCCCTGCTTGTTTGTGGTGACAGTTGCTTTGGGGGTGTATGTGTGTGTGTATGTGTTTAATTGAGATTGTAAAATAAGCCTTAGATATCTGTGTTCATGTGTGCATATTATTAGAGATAACTAGTTCTGTAGGAGAATTTTGCATATCTTATATTTGTTTTTAATTGACAATCTAAAATAGATAAAGTACTTTTTTGATATTGAGGCTGACCATTCTTTTAAAAGGAAAGTACTTTGCATTTATATTTGATTAAAATTAATGCAGACACAAACTAGGATGGATTTAAAGACACAGGCCTGTGAAGAATTTGGAAGAATACTTAATATTTAGATGATAGGTTTAGGTAAACGTAGACCAGATGATTTTATGGCATAATCTAAACACTGTAAAAACAAATTCAGTATTAGTTTAAGTAGGAAAAAAAAAGTATGTAATAGGATAAGCATATTCACTGTTATAGCACTAATCTGATCACAGCATTAATTTATAATTATAAATTATAATTCTATAATTATAAATTAATGTTTGTTTACAGTGATCATTTAGTAGTACTATATCTAATATAGCAATGGCATTACAATGTTAGTAGCATTACAAATAAGATAATTTTATCAACCCAATGATCAGAAGAATTTTTATCTTTCCCCTTTTAAAGGGGGTCTGTACATTAAAGTACATGTGTTGTGGAACCAGACTCACTTGAATTTGGATATATGTTCTACCATTTAACAACTTTAAGCACATCTTCACCAATAAAATGGGACTTCATTTAATTTTCCAAATAATATAATTGCCTTGGATCTGTCAGAACCTATTCTAGGTAATGAAAGTTTATGGCTGAACACAGTAGATAATGGTGTTTGTTCACAAGAGCATACAGCATTTAATGGGAGAGATGGGAAAACAGATTATACCACAACAGAGGTGTTCTGATAGAACTAAGACCAGGGTACTGTGAGTGCACATAGCAGGGATGACAAAGCTGTCTCTGGCATTTCAGGAAAAATGAGACCCAGAAGACAAACAGCAGTTAGCCAAGTGATGGGAGGGTCTTCCCTGGTGGCGCAGCGGTGGCATCCTTGCCTGGGAAATCCCATGGACAGAGGAGCTTGGCAGGCTGCAGTCCATGGGGGACTGCAAAAGTGTTGGACACTACTTTTAAGATTAAACAACAACAAAGTGATGGGAGAACCAGAACTAGGCACAGGGAAACAAAAATGTGTGAAAGGCAGAGGATGAGAGAAGATGGCACTTTGAAGAAGTTCAAGTACTTATTAAGGCTGGAGCATAGGGTATAGTGGAAACCAGGAAGAGATTAAGTTGAAGAGGCAAACAAGGCTGAGATTAGAACAGGCTTTGAATGCTTTAATAAATTATTCCAAGGGTACGGTAAAGCATCTGCCTTGCAATGCGGGAGACCTGGGTTAGATCCTTGGGGCAGGAAGATCCCCTGGAGAAGGAAATGGCAACCCACTCCAGTATTTTTGCCTGGAAAATTCCATGGGCAGAGGATCCTGGTGGGCGATGGTCCATAGGATCGCAAAGAGTCGGACATGACTAAGCGACTTCACTTTTACTTTTCAGTGTATTTGGAGCCACAGAATAATTGTTTAAAAGGCAAAATGAGCAGACTTTACTTTCAGAAGATCACTTGGATTGCAGTGTGGAGAATGAACAGGGGAGACCGAAAGGTGGAAAGTAGGGAAACCAATTAGGTTATTGCATTAACCCATGGGAGATGGTGACCTGATCTAAGGTGTAGTGGCAGTGAAGGTGGAGAGGTGGACAAATGTAGAGCTATTTGGATTGATAAAATATGGGGCATGAAGGCACAGGACAGAAGGATGACTCCAGGATTTTGGACTCCCTAGCTGGAACTATGCGATTGAGTCATCACATAGGTGATAAGAAAACCACTGGAACAGATATGCTCTGAGTTTGCAGTGTTTATTTAGGGCAGCTTGTGTGTAGTTCATGTTTAAGCATTCATTTTCTCTTCTGGCTATATTGGCCTCCTCTTTTATTTGTTCATCAAATATTTGTTGAGTATCTATTATTATATGCCAAAGGACTAGAGCTATATCACTCTAAAAACTCCCCATTTTCATGCAGCCTTTTTTTTTTTTGGTGTGGAGATACTGGCAACAGTAAGAGCTAACATGGTCTAGTAGTTTAGAGCACAAACTTGGGAGCCATTCTGATTAGGTTTGAATGCCATGTCCTAAGGTGCTTAACCTTTCTGTTCCTCAGTTCGCTCAACTCTGATTCAGGAATAGTAATAGTACTTAACTTCATAGGCTTGTGCTTTTTGCACACTTGGGCCAGTAATTGGAATGTAAGCGAGGGATCAGCACCAAAGGAAACCTAACCATAGCTTCCATGTTAAGCCAGGAATCCTGGCTAAAATCATCCAGGTCCATAATGTTCCTAGCTTCTGGGAGATTCTTCCAGAAAAATATTTGCATCTCCCACTTTATGGAAGAAAGTGTCCTCAGTTTAGGGCCTCAGGTTTCTCAGAGATTAAAATCAGCCAACTAAGCTTGTAAACATTACCAAAAGTACAACATAGAAAAGTGAGAACTCATCATCATTAGGAGATTTCAACATACTTCTCTTCAATTATTAACAGATGAAGAAGAAAATAGAAAAATAGCAAAGATTTAGAAAATTTTTAAACAGTTTAATTCAACAAACAGTTCAACCCAACAGCTAGAAAATGTATATTCTTTCTAAGCATACATGAAATATTTTCAAAAGTCAATATATCAGTCCAAAAATGCCAGTCTTATATAAAAAAACTGATTTGTACCAACCATATCATATCACCAGAGTGTTGTTAAGTACAAGTCAATAAAGCTAAACAAAAGATTTCCTTTAGAGAGTTAAAAACCCCCTTCTTTGGGTCAAAGAAGAAATCACAATGGAAATTTTTATTTTATTTATTTACTTTTGGCCATGCCACATGGCATGCAGGACTTAGTTTGCTGACCAGGGATTGAATCTATGCCCCCTGCATTGGTAGCACAGAGTCTTATCCAGTGGAATGCCAGGGAAGTCTTTTTTTTTTTGGGGGGGGTGGTGAGGGGTGGTTAACGATGGAAATGTTTAAAACACTTGGAACAAACAATAGTAAGAGTACTGTATATAAAACTATATAATATGCAATAAAGTACTAAAGGGAAATTTGTAGTTTTAAATGCTCATGTTAGAAAAAAAAATCAGTCTAAAAATTAGTCAGCTAAGTAGCCTTTGTGTTTGAAAAGGAATCAAATAGGACTTCTCTGGCGGTCCAGTGGTAAAGAATCCACCACCCAGTACAAGGGACAGGAGTTCAACTCCTGGTCTGGTGGAACTGATTCCGCATGCCACAGGGCAGCGAGGCCTGTGCCACACAACTCCTGAGCCCATGTGTCCCAATTACTGAAGCCGTAGCACTCCAGAGCCTGTGTTCTGCAACAGAAGAAGCCCCTGCAATGAGAAGCCTGAGC